TCACTAGAATATAAGCTCCTTTCCCTTTTTCCCTAATCATCTTTGGAAACAGACCAAGTAATGGTATTGCTGGGTCAAAGGGTAGTTTAATAACTCTTTGGGCATAATTCCAGATTGTTTTCCAAAATGGTTGGATCATTTTACAACTCCACAATGAATTCATGTCCCAGTTTTTCCATAGCCTCTGCAACATTTGTCATTTTCCCCTTCTGTCATCTGGTAGATGTAAAATGATAGCTCAAGGTTGTTTTAATTTGCATTTCTCTAATCTATAATGATTTAGAGCATTTTTATATGACTACAAATTCTTTAGATTTCTTCATTGGAAAACTGCCTGTTCATATCCCTTGACCATTTATCAATTGGGGAATGACTCATATTCTTATAGATTTGACAAAGTTCTAATTACTATTTGTGAATTTCCCTCCATCTTATTTTTACTCACTATTTTCCTTCTCAGGCTCTCTTTTTACCCTATCCCTGTTATCTCATGTTTTCCCTTTACCCTCTTAATCCCTTTTTTTTCCCTTTAAAACTCCCTCCCTTTTTTTCTCTCCCCATCCTCCTAATCTTATTCTATACACCCTTTTAAAAGTCCCAAATGAGAGTAAGGTTCCAACATGCCCAGCCCTCCACCCCTCTGTATTTGTTCTTCCCTTCATGCCCTATTTTTATGAGATAATTATGGCGGCTCTCCTTGTGGTGGCAAAGAACTGGACGTTGTGGGGATGCCTATCAAGATGGGGAATGGCTGGACAAGTCGTGGTATATGATTGTGATGGAATACTACTGTGCTATAAGAAATGATGAGCTCGATGGTTTTAGAAAAACATGGAAAGACTTGCACGAAATAACGAAAAGTGAGATAAGCAGAACCCAGGGAACATTGTATACAGTAACAGCAATAGTGTTTTAAGAATGACTTTGAATGAATAAGTGATTTTTGCTATTATAAATATTCAAATTAACTATAAAGGACATATGAAGAAAGACACTATCCGCATCCAAAGAAAGAACTGATAAATAGAATTACATATAGGATAATATATAAATTTTACCTATATAAACCTTATAGGGAAGAGGTAGTAGTAGGGACATTTTCCTTACCTTTCTCTTTAGCGTGTGCATAACAGACAAAGCCTGGGATGTGTGTGTGAGTCAGAATTTAGCTATCCCCAGTCACTTTGGGAAATCTTATGCTTTGTAAATCTCTAAACAGGAGCTGACATAATATGGCATATCTAACATTTTTGCTGGTGGCTTGTTTTGTTTGTGAACCTGTTCTCTGTTTAGATATGAAGGATGCAGTAGACCCAAGATCGTCTCGGCAGAAAAGCTGGGAAGTTGTTGCAAGAATCCCTAGCGGCAGAACAGCAGTAAACCACACACTTCCTCAGTCTGGAGCTGAAGCAAGACTCCTCTTCCCAGGCTAGCATCTAACCAGCATAGATAGGATCGTAGGACCACAAATTTAAAACTAAGCTGGGGATAACAGAAAAATCATGTAGCTCACAGAATCATATAATTTTCTAGAAGCAAATCTTTGAGATAATTGTAGTACATAGTCAGTCATGCCTTCTGGTGGAGAATGTAACTATTTAGTCTTCCCTTGTGGTCAGAAGCCAGTTTCCCAGGTGGGTGGGGGCCATCTCCAGTTCTGATCTATATCTGGCCACTGGATCCAGATGGCTCCGGAGGAGAAAGTGAGGCTGGTGACTTTGCACAGCCCTGCCTCACTTAAATCCAATTCACTTGCAAGTCATGGCATCACCTCCTTGATGTCATGGTCCTCTTCGAGAACAAAGGACAAACAACAACCCAGATCCAGTTGCTACTCAATGGTGATCTTTTTTTTTTGAGGTCAGACTTCCCTTTACCACAAGGAGCATCCAACTGGGAGTTCTGAGGAATAAGACCTCTTTAAAGATAGAGATACCTCTGTGCCTGAAAGCAGGACCTCAGCATTTCTCATGCAGACCCACTATAGATATAAGACTTGCAAATTCTTTGTTGTTCAGACATTTTCAGTCACGTACGACTCTTTGTGACCCTATTTGGAATTTTCTTGGCAAAAATACAGGGGTGGTTTGCCATTTCCTTCTCTAGTGACTTGCCCAGCCACATAGCCAGTAAGGACAGATTTGACCTCAGGATCTTCTGACTGCAGGCCCAGCACTCCATCCACTGTGCCACTTCAACGCCCCTGCAGATTCTTAGATACATGGAATTGGCATGCTGGGAACAATCCTGCCAAACAGGTTCCAGAAGGATCCTTTACTTTAAATAAAATATATCACTTTGGGGGTGGGAGCAGGGGTGGAGAGGAGAGGCACAATGGATAGAGTGCCAGGGCTGGAGTCAAGAAGACTCATCTTCCCGAGTTCAAATCTGACCTCAGACACTTAATAGCTTCGTGACCTTTGGCAAATCATTTGACCCTGTTTGCCTCAGTTTCCTCATCTGTAAAACGAGCTGGAGAAGGAAATGGCAAAGCACTCCAGTATCTCTGTCAAGAAAATCCCAAATGGAGTGACAAACAGCCAGGCACGACTGAAAACAACTGAACAACAAAGATCACATTTTAAAAAACACCATTAAATCTCACTGGTCAAAGATTATAAAGGATTGTAAATGGGAAATCTTTTAAAATTAATAGGCATAGCTACCAATAGTCATCAAGTCTCAGAGGTCTTAAAGACTAACGCTAACAATTAACATCTCTCAGGAGAGAGAGGAGGGCTGAATCTACAGACTTGGTAGAGAGTATAGTCTGTATCAAAGTGCTTGCCTTCTCAAGAAGGGGAGGAGGAGCAGGAAGGAGAGAATTTGGAACTCAAAATTTTTTAAAATCAGTGTTAAATGGCAAGAGCTCTATGAACTGATGCAAAGTGAAGTGAGACGAACCAGATCACTGCACAGGAAAAGCAACGTTGTAACGATGATCAACTGTAAAAGATTTGGCGACTCTGATCACTACAAAGGACCCGTGATGAAAAATGCTACCCACCTCCGGAGAGAAATGATGAACTGAGTGCAGATTCAAGCGTAATTTTCTCACTTTATTTTTCTTGCTATTTAAAAAAAATATGGCTAATATGGGAATGTTTTGCATAATTTCACATGTATAATTGATATATTGTCTGTCTTCTCAGTGAGTGCCAGTGGGGGTGGAAGGGAGAGAGAATCTGGTAGGTAAAATTTTTTTAAATGATAAATAATAAAATTTAATTACAAAAATAAATGTTAAAAAAAATTTACATGTAATTGGGAAATATTCAAGAAATAAAAATATATTGGGGGAAAAAGGATTCATGATAAGATTAAAAACCCAAGTCCTAAAAGTAAAAACAAAAATGTGAACCTATCTAGTCTTGTTTCTTGGTTATGCCTCTTTACTTTCAGTTGGCCACTGCCAACAGGGATAAGTTTTCTTCTGGAACTTTACAGAGTACCACACTGAACAAGCAAAATGGCTACTCCCCTCTAGCACCTCCTTGTCCATCCCCCACTACCCCTTGAGGACTGCCACTTTCCCTCACCCGGATTTCTTATCAGGCCTTTGTCCTAGTTGTAAATCATCCTAGGGGCATAAAAATGAGCTCCCTGATAATGAATTAAAGGGAAATGACCTAATGATTATGGTCCCTCTGTAAGAACTTCCAGAAACAGATGGGAACCAGGGATCTTCTCATCTTGGTTAACCAATTCCTCGACGCCTGTAGCCTGGGTACTGCGCAACCTGCTTCCTGAAATTGCCAACCCTTGATTTTCAGCTCTGAGGAGCAATCTGCTCAATCCAACCCCAACCCTTGCACAGGAGTAATTCACCATTAGCCAGGCCACACCAGAAGTTAACTGGGTGGGTGGAATATTTAGTAGCAGCCACTTTTAAATCTGAATCCACTTGGGGCAGCCAAGGTGCAGAAAGTTGAGGACCAAACAAACTGAGGTTGTTGCTCTAGTCAAATTATCTCCCGGGCCTGGAGTGGTTTTCCAGTTAGCTTAAAGCATCCTGTGCAAGGGATGGGACTTAATTCCATTTCCTTTGGAGAAAGCTGAGGCACAGGTATGCAGACAGATGTGGTGGGGACTTGGGAAAGGTGGACTGGAGTCCTCTCAGCCCATCAGCAATCACACCTCCCTGTATGCGCTACAGTGGGCGCCAAGATGCGCTTTGCCCATGCAGCTCATCTCTCCTGTTGCGTTTATTCCAATTGGGGCAAGCCTGAGGGAGACTGCCCTGGTTTTGCCAGTATGGAGGCTGGCCCAGGTGTTGACTGGCTCAGTCGACAGGCCCAGGATGACGTCCTGCCAGATAAAGCCTGGAGCCGGCCGTTCTGCTGATACTGCAGCCCCTGGCACGCTTCTTCCCAAGAAGAGAATGGACTGGGGCCTCTTCTGCCAGCTGTGGTTTGGAGATCTTCTTCATGAATCTTACAAAGCCCTTATCCCACCCAGGACCCTCGAGCCCCATAAACGGTCAAGAAGCCTGGCACACAACCATATTCACACAGTTATGACAGAGCAATAGCACACTGGAGACCGGTCTCCAGCACAAGGGGGGATTGGAGCAGAGCCCTGAAGGCAGCCAGCAGTAAGGAGGGAAAGCATTCCAGGGAAAGGAGGCAGCGGCACACCAGTTACTTCCAACCACCAGTCTTTTTGACAGCCTACGCTACCTAAAGACCTGGAAAGAACGACACCTACCCAAGTCCCAATCTTGTGCCCATCTTCCTGGCTGTCCCAAATCAGTGACCACAGGAGCTTGCATCCCCCGAAGAATCCTCCCTCCCCTGTTTTCCCAAGTACTTGTGAGCCTGCCCAGCAGATAGGCGACCTTTGTCCTGGCCTGGTAGGAGCTCACACTCTGAGGGCCAGCAAAGCCTCTGGTTGCCCCCACCCCCCAAAAAACTGTTCAAATCCGTTCAGAAACCTACATCCCCTCCTGTCTGCCCCAAGTCATCCTGCTTCCCCAGAGAAGGACATGCACACACAGAAAATAAATACAAAATCAAATACTTTAATGGAATTAGGGAGCAGGGAAAGAAACAGCTCAGATATACCACTAAAACTGATACTGCTGGCTGTGTACTCCTCATTTCTTACATCTTCTGTTTTAACAAGCAAGCAGAATGACAAACTACGAATTCTTCAAAGTTTCAAATATCCTGAGTAGAGAGTTTTTTTTTTTTTTAAACCACATAAAATGCATATATATGAAACTTCTCTATTCATGAGCTGGTGTCCTGCACTCAGCATTGCACAGATAAAAATAGACTACTTTCAATACACAGATCTAAATACTTCACATTTTTAAATCAGAATTCTCTACACAAGTTTTAAGTTGACAGAATTCAAGTTCTGAATTTTCAGTATAATAGCTTTAACTTGTATTAAACACATGTTTATTTACAATGTGGATAAAGTGTAAGGGTACCTAGTAAGGCCATATTACCATATTGTACTGTTAAACACTGCAAAATATATACACAAGTACAACCTAATATAGGCAGAAGTTCTAAAAATCACTTTTCTTGGTTTAACGTAATTGAGTTTCAGTATGGGCAAAAAAAGACAGCTTGTAGTTAGCACCAAGCTACACCAACAGTTTAATTAAATAAACATTTGAGCTTTCTTCCAGCTCTATCCAGAAGGGCTGTTCAGAGTCGGAGTGAAACAAGGAGGAGCTCCACTCTCAATCTTGGTAGAGGAGGCTGTGGCCACCCATCCGTCTGTTCTAGGACTAACACTTGTTACAGGGATGGACCCAGTGCCAGCTTTCAAGGACAGGCCCGGATGCCCAATCAGACAGCTGCTGGGGGAACCAACCTGTCTACCTGATTCTATCTTCAGTTTCGTTACCATGTCCGTTAAATAGACCATTTCCCTTTAAATTTATGCTCAACAAGTTAAGGAACAAATAAAGCAGAGATGATGGTCAAGTCAGTCCAGACACCAACTCACCCAGGCAATGGGAAAGAAGGGAGCTGAGGCCCTGTCTACACCCAAAGGGACAAGGAACCACACCTGCAGATGCCTGTCCAGGCCTCATCTCCTGTGCCTGCTGTGTCCAGGGTGTTCTCGCTCATAGCGATGGCCAGCTCGCTCATAAGACCGAGAACGCTCGCGCCTCTGATCCCTGTAGTAGTGACTCTTCTTGTATTTCCCAGAGTTATCTGAGCGCTCCCTGGATCGGCTTCTAGAGCGTGATGAGCTCCGGCTTCGAGACTTCCGGGGTTTCTGGGCTGCATACTTATAGTCCTTTGATTTTTTATAGTTCCTGATCTTGGAGCCCTTGTAAGAACCACCATGGTTGGCCTGTCTTGGGGGAGAATCGCTGCGGCTCCGAGAGCGGCTCTGGGACTTTGAACCACTGGACGTTGAACAGCTTTCACTTTTTCTAACAAAAAACAAAAAAACAAAAACCAGCCCCAATGAAACATTTACACTATGAAGCCTACTTCCCTGAGCGACCCTAAGCTCACCCAACCTCTCAGCTTTCCTCCAGATGAACCACCTGACAGGAGCCCAAGGGGAGGCCAACAGAAACGAGCTGTACGCACCTCCTCTTAGGGGAGGCAGATCTGGACTGCGACCGCGAGTAGCTCTGATCTCGGCTTCCGCTGCGACTTCGACTTTCTCTGCCTTTTGGCAAGCTGTGAAGGGAAGAGTCTCATTAGGCAGAGCTGAAACGTCAGCCACCCAAGGGGTTAGGAGAACATCCCGCCCTGGCAGAAGGCCTCACCCATTCACGGGACTGTTGGATTTGGCCCTCTTGGTGCCCTCCATTTTTCTTTTGGCGTTCTTCATTGCTTGCACAGAAAGTGGGGAAGGTTTATTTCCTTTGCTTTCTTTGGGGGATTCTAAAAATACAAATATAAGAAATTCCATGAAATGCCAACAATGAAGGATTCAGAGAGAACTTTAATACACAAGCTGAAGCTCCACCACTCTCCCTTCCCTACCCACAGTGAGGCAATCATCACACCTGTGAAGGGAGCTCTTCCTCCTAATGTCAAAGGAAACAGAGAAGAGCTGAGGGGAGGAAGGGGCACTGGCATTCCAAGACCCAAACAGACACAAAACATGGCACGTGGGCCTCAACAGAGAACATCGCTTGGTTAATCCTGTGTCTCCACCACATGGAAAAGTCTCCAAAAGGTGACTGTGAAAACAACTGAATGCCTCTCCTCCAAGCCCCCATCTCCCCTGGACTTGGTGACTGACTTCTCCATCTGTCCCTCACACCGTTTTCCACAGGATTCCTGAAACTAACTTCTGATGAGGGGTTCCCTCTAGCCTCAAGGATCAAAGACAAATCTGGGTGACATTGAAAGCTCATGTTCATAAGCATGCTCTGATCCTCCTGTCTGGGCTGGTTACACGCAGCTGCTTTGCTGCTTCTGACACCGCACACTGCATTTCCTGCCCCCTCAGCCTGGAACGGAACACCCCCCCCATACACAGCTGCCCCTTTCCAAATTCAGTTCAGGCCTCACATCCTACATGGAAACACTCTCCTGGGCGGGCCCACCATGCATGGATAGAATGTAAGTGCCCTGCTGGCAAGACCTGTTCATTTTTCTCTCCATAATCCTGCCTAATGCTTGGGACCTCAGAAGTGCTTACTAAATTCTGGCTGATCAATCGACCCTCCTGTAATCAAAGGGCTGTTTGGATAGATCACTACAATTTCAATGTACCAGGAACCTTAGAAAGATGGAAGGAGACAGACTTCGGAAAGCAGCATCTGGCTCTAGAGGAGGCTCTAACTTTTCTGAGTCACAGAGCCCTTCTCAGAATGCTTTTAGGTACATAAAATATACAGGATTACAAAAGGAAACCAAAGACACCACCATACCACAGTATCAGAAAACTCAAGAGCACGGCTCGAGAGGAAGAGGGCTCCCTACAAAAGCCACATTCGACGTCTTTCCAATAACCAGCAGAACCACCCCCCCCCCCCCCCCCAAACACACACATATCAAACCTGGCCAAAGACTCACCTATTTTAGGAACAGGGGAAAAGCCCGATGTGTTGTCTAAAATGGGAGTCCCATCAGCAAGCAGGCCTTTAGCTTGGGCTTTTGCCTCTTCAATAGCATGTTTTTTCTTTTCGACTTCACTTTCTAAATATGTCAGATCAACCTATAAAAACAGCACCGGCCCAAATAAAGAGGCAAGAAATAATAGTACAATGGTCAAACATAATTAAGGGGGAAAACGCCAAAACAAAAACAGTAGAAAAATAAACTAAACCTTTTTCCGAGTATAGAGCAACAAAATTTTTAAGCAGATCTCTTGGATCTCTTCCTCAGATGCCCCAAACAACAGAAACCAATGAGGACGATTAGGAAGAGGAATCTAGAAAAAAGAAAAACACCATCAACATTCACACCCAGTGCCAGGCATTATAAAATGGATGAAGACATTTGACGGTTCGTATTTTGTTTACAAATACCCAGAATTACCTTAGTAAAACCATTCCTTTTATTATTTTTAGAAATCCCATTAGAAACTTAAATCAGCCAATTGTCCACTGATCTCCAAAACTACAAGTTCAGGAAAGTCAACTAACCAAATTTTAATTTACCCAGCTGAATAAAGCGTGTCACGCAAAACAAGCTCATCTTCTGGGAACCAACACCATTTCAACCACCCATTTTACACAGGATAAGTCAAATACTGACCTCTAATGTCCTGGCAGCAAGATAGATGCAAGCACAGGCAATGCTTTCTGGCTGGAACCTTACAAAGACATCTGTTCGAAGGCTATCATTCATATAGTTCCTAGAAGTCAAACACAAAAGAATTGCAACTCCCCAAGGCATTTCTGAACATGTCTGCATTCACTATAAATCACTCCATTTCTAAGCATTCTACCTCTAAATCTGAGGGCTAGACAGTCCTGTAAATCTCAAGAGTTAATGAAGGATCATTAAAATAGCTTCTTCTGGACACAGGGAAGGAGGGGAGGGACAGTAAAAAAAATTTTTTTTTAAAAAAGCTGACTTTGTCAGATAATACTGTTATGAAAGAGAACCAATTTTAACTTTACTTTTTCCTGCTAAGACTACTGGCCTGCTCTCATGCAAAAGCACAACATTTTGGAAAGACAACATCTACCATAGTGGTTAAAAGTATTTGATTAAAGGAATTTATGCTCAATCTCCGTAGTGCAGAGAAGCATGCAAACTCAAGCCAACAGCTGAGCACTGGTCCCTTCTGGAGTTCTTCTGAGTTTAGCCATCCTCTTCCCTGTAGTTCCTTTGCATCAGAAAAATGTTTGGGTTTTTTTGTTTGTTTGTTTTTGTTTTTCAACCTGTCCATTTCCCATGACGGACTGATTTCACAGCATCCGGAACAGAATCCATTTTGATGGGAAAAACGCCCTTGTGCGTAATTCGGATATATGGGAACATCATGCAGAGGAAGGCTCAATACCCAAAGTGAAATCCTCTTCGCAGGTTTATCAAAGAATCGTTTCCAAATTGTCCCATTTCAAAAGGAGTCTTAAAATGAACATTCACAAAATCAGACAATGGCAATAAAATACTGGAAGTTTCACAGTCAGTAAGCACATTTTAAAACTATATTGCAATTTAAAAGTTATTAATCAAAGTACAAAGGGCTTGTATCTAAACAGAATGTAAAATATTAATTCACTACATTTTTAACATATTCCTTCAGAGAAAGGCACTTAAAATTTAATATACTAAAACCAGAACTTGGGCATCTGGCTGTAGATCAAGTATGGTGAAAGATAAGGGTTGACCCCAGGAGAACAAAACTTTTAAGTTATGAGTTACAACTCCTAAGAGTTTTCAAAGTATACCAATGGATTCCCCTTGTGTTCAACCATCAGTTGTGGGCCAGACCATCAATACTGTGATCTCTATCCTATCTCTCCCTGAACCTCAGGGCAGCATTAAGCACATACTGCCCACCCACAAGTTAAGAATTACATTAAACTGTTAAAATTGTAAATGAGGAAGGCACTCTATCTGGCTACAAAAGGTGTTGCTCTAAGCATCAATTAACAACAAAATAAAGTCACCATCAGACTCTGGGAAATCCCACACTACAAGGTAATTGTACACTTTTTGGTCAGTAGAAGCCATTACTTTTTTTTTTTTTTTGGCCAGTAAACAGATGATTTTAAACATTTTAGCTACAGTGATTTTCTTCTTTAATCAAAACAGCCACAAACAATAAATGTGCCCAATTTACTTTCCTTAAAATAAAAGTCCTAAAATACAAAACAATTAAGAACATTTAAAAAGAATATTTGTACTTATTGCTGTACTTGAAATTTACAATACTTAAGTATATCAAAGTTTAAAGGTGTGTACCTTTTACCAGACTATAGGCTGTTGCTGAAAAAGTGCAACTAAAGAATTTCTAGCAACGTATGTCTGAGCCAAGACAAAACTGGCCCACAGGCTACTTACTATTAGCAATCTGGACCCCAGTTAACCAGTCTGTCACACTTTTGAACCCCACCCCCTCCACCCCTTACAGTTTTGCAAAGAAAAAGATAGCACACCTTTAATACACAGGTACAGCAGTTTTAAAGTGACAAAATTTAAGTTAAGACAGTTATAAAATCTAATAAATACAATCGTCAAAGCACAACAAAAAAATGAACAAGAAAAAAAAGTCAAAGATCACCACAAGAAGCAGTCGGCCAGTTACTATACTATCGTATATACCACCTGTCTAGAGCCAGCCTTCTCTGGAGAGCCTGCATTGGATTGACTGAAGACGGCAGCTATCCCTGCACCAAAGCGCTTGGACAGCAGAGGAGAAGTCTTAGTCACTTACCCTCAGAGGCTACCCTTTGATTAAAAGAGTACAGAAAAGAAAAGTCAAAATAGGTTCTCCATCAAACAAGTAATAGCACCAGACAGTTCAGTCAGCAGAAATATGACCCTTAATAGATTATAACTCTATAAATAAAAAAAAACACAAAACACAAAAAACCCACACACACTAAACTGTCAAATCAAAATTTGCTTCAAGAATGCACATTACTAAAATCAAGGCCTGGAATTTTAGGAAGTTCTTCCGTCCCTCTCCTTCCTCCCACAGGGATTTAATAAAGAAGCAGACAGAAAAGGTTTTGCAACAGATGTTAAGCTTCTACCCTAGGTCTACTTTAGTGTATCTTACATTCCTGTACTATATGTCCAGTGCTTCAAGTCAATGGCTATGGGGGGTTTCTAGCACAGGGAGGGTTACTAAGTACTTCCTTATGTACTGTGCCCAAAGGAAAGACCAGTTGAACCCTTTCACTTCAGAGGAAGGGAAAGCAATGGAAGATAGGGAGAAAACAGGGGAGGAGAATATACACTACCTTACCATTAAGACAGTGCCTGAAATTTTAAGAAGCTGATCGAAATCTACACAGCAGCCTGGGGCACTTCAGACAACTGTGGAGCCCACAACCAAAGTCATGGGATAGACTACCCACTGCCCAAAGTGCCTCAAACCAACATATTTCTGCCACTGCCCTTGCTGGTCTCTTAAAACAAAAAAAATCAACTTACCATGAGGTCTGGACCAGGTGTTGATTACGCTCACATTCTAACACCTGAAGGTACATAACGATTATCTGGAAGATATGGGTCATTCAGTTATTACCAAGAATCTTTAGATCCAAGAATTTAGTTTATAGGGATAACCATGCAGCAAATGAGGTCATCATGCTAGATTTTCAAGGAGCGGCCTCATGATGGTATATTCTGACAGGCAGACAGAACTGTTGGATGCTGAGCATTTGCTGAATGATACACATTCCCTGCTTTGCAATGCACCAGGATGCTGGAGTTGGGCTGCAGTTGTACCCTACTAAGCAGGCCTCAACTCCACATTAAGCAGTTCTAATCTAATTTCTGCTCTCAATTCAATTTCCACTGTGAGAGAATAACTTGTCCTATGTATCTTCGATTGCTATTTTGCTCAGTAAAAGCAAGGACTACTCTCAGTAAAAGCCAAAAAGACAATTTTTAAAAATCTAAAACTAGTAGACCTAGGTAAGGAACACTACAATTATCAACGTTAAATTTCTAATCTGGGCCATGTTTCATCGCAGTCCAGTTAATAGCACAGGAGGGAAAAACACCTGTCATTGCTGGGGATAGTAGAATACTCAAGTGCATGAGCTCCTGCAGTTGATATAATCAGATTTACTTCACTATGAAAGAAAAGGGCTGGGGCGTAGGGGTGAGGTGCAGCGAGGTGGTGCAGTAGATAGAACACAGGCCCTGGAGTCAGGAGGACCTGAGTTCAAATCCAGCCTCAGACACTTAACACTTACTAGCTGTGTGACCCGGGCAAGTCACTTAACCCCATTGCCTTGCCCCTCCACCCCCCCCAAAAAAAGGAAAGAAAGAAAGAAAAGGGCTCTTGGAACTCTGGAAATTCAAGGTGGGGGAAAGACAGACTATCACCAAATCAGTTTTATGAAGTCAGCAGCAGTGACAACAAATGAGGATAAACAAAAATGCTACTAAGCCCACAGAAGCTAGTATACATCCAATCGGCAATCTTTAGAAATCTAGGCTTACTATGTTATTGATAGAAACTGGAAAAACACATCAAACAGCCTCGGGTGTGTCTTCATTCACTGGTGAGAGTGGACAAATGTGATTTTTTATTTCTTAGCTAAAATGGCACAAATTGGACCATGAGTGTTGACGCAAGTTCAGTCTAATGGGAGCACGTTTTCAAGAATCACATTATAAGTAAACATACCAACCTTATGAGGGTGCTTTACATGGACACAGAACCCCAACTCCTTCAACACTCTTCTCTCAGCCTTTATAATTTGGTTCTTCAAATTAACATAATCCTGATCCAAGAGCAAAGGTACCGGTTTCCTACAATAAATTCCCCAGTCAAATGGAAAAATTAAAACCACCATTGTACATATCTATAATAGATGGCATCATGTATGTATATTGCAAACGTTCATACCTAGGACAGTGTCAGATTAAGCTCCTTTCCCCTAAGACCATGAACAACTCTTCTTCATCCCCTATCTTTAACCTAACTACTAACGGATTCTCACTGGTTTTCCTCTTCCTCGCATATAACAACAACTCAGGTTCTAACTGCAATAGTTTGGGCACACAGGCACTGAGAAATGTTGGCTGATTTAATTTGTGCATAGGAACTTCTGAAAGATGCAGTGAAAGGAACCCCAATAATTTTCTTTCACCTAGAGATTACAAAGTACTTAGCTAAAAACAACAGACTATCTTTCCAACTAGTCAAAAGGTATAGTTCACAGAAAGCCAAAGGAGATGGCAAAGGAAATGATAACCAACAGGTATAGTTGCGTTTAACAATAACAACCCACAGGAGGATCTGAGTTCAAATCCAGCCTCATGCACTTGATACTTACTTAGCCATGTGACCCTGGGCAAGTCACTTAACCCCGATTGCCGCCGCTCCCCACCACAAAAAACAACCCAAGACTCACTAATTGTTGCTCAGTAGAGCCAAAGTGTTTTATCTGGGTTCAAATCCCTGCTCTACCACACAGGATCAGTGTGACCTTGTGAAAAAGCCCCTTAATCTCTAGAGGCCTACATTTCCACATCAGTAAAAAAAAGGCAGATTGGGACATAAGACCCCAGATGACCTCTCTAAGATAATTTTGAATATACTCAAAAAATACCAACAACACTTACTTTTTCTCCCTCAAATGCCGAAGTCGATGAAACACATTAATTACGTCCCTTATCCGTCTTGGAGCCTCTTCTATTTTGGAGGCCAGATGAACACAGGCCATTGATACATGCTGAAATATAAGTATTGCAACATACTGATGTTTTGCTCAAATCTGGAACTGTGATCGCCTCCATCAGCTTAAGGAGGGCTAATAAGAGAAAATGGCAGGTAAATACAAGTAACAGAACAACCTGTAAGATAAGCAGCGCTTTACAACTTACATGGCTTATCAAACATAATGAAGCAAAAATACTTAATCTACTGAGAATACCTTGTTTTTGTAATTAGGACAAAAAGCAAATATGTTGTTTGGATTAAGCTTCATATATTAAAATCTTACGAATTTAGCTTGAAATAGAAATGAGGAAAGGGGGAAAATTCCTACTTACCTCCATGGAATGCTTCACAAAGGATTTGGTATAAAAGAACCGCTGAAACAACACCTGCCCTGTAGCCATGGCCACCTAGAAAGGGAAAAGAATTCAATAATATGTTTTTAAAAGCATTGTTCAGGATTTGCCAGATTCATCTCAATTGGTAAAAAGAAAGAAAGACAAGATTAGACTTTGGGTCTCACTATATTCAAAAGGTTAGAAAACAAACAAAACTTAAAGCTCTTCCTGCCAATGGTTAATAATCCACTCATACTTCCCAACGTTAGAAAACAGCTGCCTTAAAACCAAGAAAAATCAGTCCATTTCAAAACATGTAGACAAAGAAACAATCCTCCTCTCCACCATGGACATACTTCTTAAAACATTAAATAAGTAGAACTGGCTGGAGCTGTCTCACGTGCTTCCCACACACAAAGCTATATTTCCAAGGGCCTAAGAGTGACAGGCCCTGCCAATTCAACCCAGCAAATTGGGAGCCCGGGTAAGTAAGAAAAGCAGAGCAGCAAGTTGGGAGGGGGGAGGTGGCAAAGGAGGAAGACACTTGAGCAATCCTCCACGAGTCCACTTGCACAACACTGGGCAGCTGAGTATAGCAGGGGAAAACCCATTATTATTCAAGAGTACGGACTGTTTTTAGTTTTGTTTTCCTATCTCCAGAGCATCTGGCACAGCAGGCCCCAGGAAGCCATCTATACAGGCCACACTGTTCCTGGAAAGGGGCCCTCCTTCCACCAATATTTCTTAGAACCTCCATTTAACCATAAGAGGGTTTCTCTATCTGCTGTGGTTGCTTTCAAATAGAAAGATTTTCTCCAGATCTTAAAAAAAAAATCAGCTAGTAGAATACAAGACTCTTTAGTCTATCACTAGGGTCTCCTAAGAAGCTATCACATTTGCACAGCCATTATTTAAAAAGCCTTCTCTCTCCAGAAGAGAAACCACAGCCTGCCCAGTCCCCCTGGCTCTGACCTTCGGGCTGGGCCACACACCCCGGGTCTTCCTCCTTTCACCCAGTCCTCCCCATTAGTTTTTTCTTTTGGGTTTGGGGTTTTTTGGGGTTTTTTTGAGCCCTCCTGAAAAAAACCCTCTCTTTCAACTCTTTCTTTTTCTTAGGGTGTGCTGTCAAGCTTCTCAGTGACTTCATTAAGCGTTCCCCTCTTTTGTGGGGGGAGGGGAGCTGTTTCTGGCGTTCTAGGTTCAGAGCTCTAGAACCTAAGACCATCCAGAAGAAACAAGCCCAGAAATATTAGATAACTTAAGATCTTAGGAACATAAGACTTTTGGGCTGGAAGGGACTTCCAACCAAGCTTTCATTTTTACACAAGAGGAAACTGAGACAGAATTTTTAGATGATACAGTATCAAAGGAACATGGAAGGGGGTCTCAAATACATCGAGTCTATTCGTTTTACCCAAGAAACAATCTCAGAAAGGGTTAGGCCACTTAAGCCCACAGTCCGGGGCCAAATACTCATTTCGCACAGGAGGAAACTGAGGCCCGGGACGTCGGGGTGCGCTGTACACCCCCCCTCCTCCCCGCATAAAGAAGCCGCCGCCCTGCTGGGGACGGTCGTTTGTAACGAGAGCGGGGTTTTCCCGAATAAGCCCCACCACGGCGTTCGGGGGGAGCGGCCACCCCCGGCCCCACGCCCGGCTTTGTCCCAGGCGGCCCCG